TTATTATTATGACTTACATCTGGTTCATCGAATCCTTTGGGCATCTTTGCAAAATTTTGCGCAAATACAACCAATATGTATATCAATTTATAAAGCATAAATAGCAACTTAATTAACCTGAGCCTAATTTATTTCATACACATATTTTTTGGAATTTTTACATTTTTTACTCTAAATTTAAATTTTGTTCCATAATTATTAATTTTTCAAGAATTTGTTTCATTTAGAAAACAATAAATGCACATGGTTAAACTAGATTTGGGGTAATGTATCGTGAAAACTTTCATTTAAATTTGATTTTAATTTTTTTTTTGGTTTTTGTCAAATAACTCACAAAGTTTATATGAAAGCACCCTTTTTAAATTAGATAGGGTGAAACTAGATAAAATTTACTACATTTCTATAAAACTGTTATATACACTCCGATATAAAAGTTTTGAATAAAACGACTTTGAATTTGATATTTCATTATTTAGCACAATAAATAGAAAAATCGGGACATTTTTTTGGGTTTTGTCAAATAACTCACAAAGTTTATAAAAAAGCACTCCTTTTTAAGTTAGATAGGCTGAAAATAGATAAAATTTACATTTCCATAAAAACAGTTAAATACACTCCGATATAAAAGTTTTGAATAAAACGACTTATTTTGGTATTAGTATTTCATTATTTAGCACAATAATTAGAAAATTCGGGACATTTTTTTGGTTTTTGTCAAACAACTCACAAAATTTATATGAAACACACTTTTTAAGTTAGAAAGGATGAAACTAGATAAAATTTACTAAATTTCCATTAAAATAGTTATATACACTCCGATATAAAAGTTTTGAATAAAACGACTTTGAATTTGGTATTTCATTATTTAGCACAATAATTAGAAAATTCGGGACATTTTTTTGGTTTTTGTCAAACAACTCACAAAATTTATATGAAACACACTTTTTAAGTTAGAAAGGATGAAACTAGATAAAATTTACTAAATTTCCATTAAAATAGTTATATACACTCCGATATAAAAGTTTTGAATAAAACGACTTTGAATTTGATATTTGATTATTTAGCACAATAATTAGAAAATTCGGGAAGTTTTAATTTACTCAAGTTTAAATTTAATTTTCTGATAAAAACGTCGTCTTTATTAGCTTATGTATCTACACAAAAATTAATTTTCAAATACAATCATTATTTTTTATAAGATTTTGTTAAGCGATCATGACTTGTTCGAATTCTTCATAAGACAAAAAGTGGTCGCCGTCTAAGTCCGCAGAACTCATCATATCTTCTAATTCATTAGCAGTGTATAAACTTCCTGAAAAAATAAAAAATTGATAAATAGATAATAATAGTATAAATTTATGAGCCTATTCTCGGATAACATAGCTTTATTATATGGTAACATAAGGTGTCACAAATAAAAGTACGTTGGAATTTTGCTTTTCTCGAAGCACATATGTTATTCTGATAAATCTTGTTTTCTTGATGTTAAGAGACTCAAAAATCTACACCTATGATGTTTATATTGTTTATTTAATTTTTCGATACTGTCAACGACTGTAAAAGTAACCTCCAAATGACACAAATGTTAAAATAGCATTAGTTAAATTTCACTTCTATTTTATTTATAAGTGAGCACCTATAATTTTGAAGTGCTTCTTAATGTTGCCATATAACATAAAACATATGACCAAGAATAACTTGGTCATTTGTCATATGATACTTTTAGTAATTAAGTGTGTCTTATTCTATCTAGTTTCATCCTGTCTAACTTAAAAAGGGTGCTTTTATATAAACTTTGGGAGTTGTTTGACAAAACCGAAAAAAATGTCTCGAATTTTCTAATTATTGAGCTAAATAATGAAATATCGAATTCAAAGTCGTTTTATTCCAAACTTTTATATCGGAGTGTATATAACTGTTTTTATGGAAATGTTTTAAATTTTATCTAGTTTCACCCTATCCAACTTAAAAAGGGTGCTTTCATATAAACTTTGTGAGTTATTTGACAAAAACCAACAAAATGTCCCGAATTTTTTAATAATGAAATATCGAATTCTTAACATTATTTCTTTTACCGAATAATCGATTCATCCTGGCAAGGTCATCGCCTGATACAGATCCTCGTCCTGACAGGTTCAACAGGTTAAATGCCTCCTTAATTTCGTCGTCAGTGAATTCAAAATGCATGTTTTTGAAATAGTATTCTTTGAAGGCATCGAGTGACATTTGATCTAAAAAAAAATAATACAATTTAGTCCATTGTAATAAACTGTAGATGAAAAAATAGTACTATTTAAGTACGAGGATTTTGCAAAATTTTCAGGAATTTACAAATTGATGTGTACAGTATTGTTATGAACTTATTATTTCATAATACTTTTTTTTTTTAATTTAATTTTAATTGCCTGTTTTTTCGGGATCCGTGGCCTTCGTCATATCGGTGAGATCTGCTTCGGTGCAATTGTGACCCAAATATAACATCAGTTGACGAGCAGTGCTTCTGTCCAAAAAACCTAATTGTAATAAATAATATATTACTCACAAAATTTCTGAACTTAAGTTTCCGTTTTTTCTATTTTTTATTTAATTCGCATATATAATTTTATCAAGCTTCGCAAAGCAATCAATTACCATATTCTTGAAATATTGATATGTAAGAAAATCTTTTTTATATTCAGAAAAATCTCAATATAAAAACTGCTGAACGGTTTTTGATAAAATTTTGTAACTCGTTATATATGGTCCAACTTAAAAGATAGAATAGTTTTTATTTTAATATTTATTATTGAAAATTAATTGTTTATTATACATTATTAGCGTCATATATATTTATCGGCTAGTTCTTTAAATATGTAATAAATGGTGGTTCAGCATCTAAGTTGCTAAAGTTTAATTTTTTACAATTAATTCCCAAATTCTGATTAGTAGAAAATATTATTATGATTGTAATAAAGATTTGTGTAGAAATTTTTACACCTGTCCTGAGATGAACATGTACAATTGTAGTATAAAAAATGACAATAAAAATACAAATAATTTCTGACCATCGTCGGAGATTTTGAAAACTGACATAATTTATTGTCATACATTATTTTCATTTTCAACCTTGCCTTGATATTCTAATGACGTAGTTCTGTGGCAAGTGAGTTTGGATGATCTTCGTATCGGCTTTTGTATTATCAGAAATTAATTCATAAATTAATAAAAAAAAAGATTCGACTATAATTACTGAGTCAAATACTGATTGGGACAAATACTGGCCGGGTCAGCTAGTATATATATATATATATATATATATATATATATACTTTTTCTTACCACTTTTATCCTTATCAAACAATTCGAAAGCTAATTTTACATCCTTAAATTTTTCTGCATTCAGTTCCACTTGCAATCCTATATTCATTATTATAATTAATATTTATTCTTTAATTTATAAAAATAGTATTTTTGCAAAATTCGAATATCAGAATGATTTTGTTTTTAATTTGTCAAAACATTTATTTATTTTATAACAAATTTACAAAATCATTCTATTTTTTGGACTATTTTTAATATAGAGTTATTTCTAAATAGTTAAATCAGAAAGTAGAAAGTATAATAAAAGATAAAAGATATTAAGATGACCAATGATGACGACAAATTTAAAAGAAAAATAAGGAAATATTATAAGGAAATTGAAGATTGAATAGATATTTTAATTATAATAAATATTGTAGTATAATGAAATAGACAAATAATATGTATATATAAAATAAGAAAATTGTTTCATAATCTCTCATACCAGATACTGAGAGTCTGACTGAGATATGTATGAAAATAATATTTAAATAAAATAAATAAATAAATAAATAAACATATTAAAAACCATTTTTTTCCATTTTTTAGTTTCAATATCTGCTACAACTGCCAAATAATATAACATTTAATAACATAAGTGAGTAGGAACATAAATTTAATAAAATAGAGTACAAAATAAAGGATAGTATTTTCATTAAAATAATATCCGTATTGTGATGATTTAATATAAAATAAAAGCAAATAATAATAATAAGATTAATAAATAAAACTTCTGAATAATAAACATAATACTAGAAACACAATAAAGTAGAATATAAACAATAATGGGGCAATTCTGCCGTAACAGAGCTCATAAAATAGTGTTGTCATGGCAACGCTCTCTTATACTTGTTCTTGGTAGTGAAAATTGTAAAAATGTCTAACTATTTGCCGTGCGATCAGGCGTATTTTACATAGAAACACAGTAAGGAAGAATGTTGTGATAACTGCATCATCTAGAATTCTGTGACAAATGAATAAAACCAAATAAAATGTAAAATTCAAATTCCTAAACATCTAGCACAAAAATAAAGTGTGAAGTACGAACTGTTCACTTTAAATTTTATTTAGAATATGTTTAAACTATTAAGTATATAAATATTAAGTTAATAATATTATATAAATACTAAATTATAAAAAGCAGGTTTAGCATAGAAAATAAGCACAAATAAATAAATATATTAGTGTGAGGAAAAAGAAATCCATTATTTTTTTGGTAAAGGCTGTACTGATACATTTGTTAGATAGATAGATGCTTGTTGAGAAAGTGAAATTTTCCAGTAAAAAGAATTAATTTGCTGTTTTTTGTACATTCAGTTGTGAGTTACAGGATGTAAAAATGGAAGCGAACAAGGAGAAAATTCGGTGCAATTTACAATTTTTCTTTGACAAATTTAAGCAGCCGTAACATCGCTGCTTTTAAGTTTTAAACCATTAAACCAATATTTTATACTTTAAAATAATGAATTTATTTTACTCTAGCCTAATGTATAGATTGCTTTGACATTACCCCAATTTTGAATCCGCATATCATAGTGGCGCTAAAAACACGAAAATCCACTTCTAAATAAAATTTATATAAATATATAAAATAAAAAATATAAACCTGACTATTCTGAGAATTTTCGAATAAGCTTATTTATTTATTATTTTTCCCCCAGGAGCCTTCCAACAAGCAACCCTCATCGGCAGGTTCCGAGACAGACGGTTCGTCTTCGTCGCGCCCCCGAGCAGGCACATGGGGCTCCAAAGAGGCCCGAGCAGCCAGATCGGGCGCCTCCGGAGGCAAACCTCAGATGCCTTTGTCGCCTTTGGCAACTGCTGCAGCAGCCAAAAAGCTGGACAGGGCTGCCAGGAAACTTCAGGATAAGGAAATCAAGAATCGTGAAAAGGAGGCTAAGAAGTACGAGAAGGAACTTAGGAAGAATGAGAAGCGGGAGCTGGAACGACTCAAGATAGAAAAGTAAGATGAATAAGAAAATGTTTTATAAATACCAATGAGTATATAATTATACAAATGAGAGCGTGTACTTTCAGAGCACCGTGTTTGAGAAAAATATGCCAAAAAGTACATTTTCATATTAACATTTCAAAACAGTTGATATTTTGAGTCTCTAGTAACACTTGCAGCCGGTTACTAACGTTTTTGGTATATAAATATAATTACTTACTACAATTTAATCACAATTAAATAATATTCACGTAAAACTTCCTATTATACATAATAGAACATCGTCTGTCAAAAACGTTTGACATTTCCCGTATTAGCCACCGTCCACTGTTTTATTTAAATTACGCTTCTACAAAAATGTTCAAATTAAAAATGTAAAGTTTCTACGCGATTTTGAAATATTATCTCACCTTTCCGACCTTCTCTGGATTGGCACGAATTTTTCAAGACTAAGTATGGCCAAATCGGTTTAGCCTTTTTCGAGTTTTACCGAATCATTTGATCGAGAGCTCCATTTTTATATATAAGACTACCTGGCCCGGCAAACGTTGTTTTGCTAAGTAAGGTATATTCTAAACAATTTCTAGAGAATCAAAAATATTAATACTTTTAGTGTATAAGGATGTGTTGTTTGAATGCTATATACAATGAGGTATTATAAAAACAATAAACCCCATTAGTTTGTCCATACAATCAAAGTGGAAGTTTTATACACTTTCTATAAAAAACATGGTATAATCCATCCAAGTCTTTTTTGGTCTTTCGACTTATTGATTAACTTCCCGTAGGGTAAGTTATAGTAATCGCAAAAAAATCGAAAATGAAAATTTTTGCATTTCTCGACGTTTCAAAACCTTCTGAACATTTTGGCATACCTTAGAAAAAATGGATGTATGTGTGTGTGTGTGTGTGTGTGTGTGTGTGTATGTATGTATGTATGTATGTATGTGTGTGTATGTATGTGCGGATACAAATTTTCGTCGACGATTTCGGGAACACGGATCAACCGATTTGAATAATTCAAAAAACATTCGATTCGTATTGATAAGGAGACGTGCTGATTAGTTTTTGGCAAAGGCAGGTCTAGCCGTTCCGAAGATACGGGGCAAAAAGTGCCACGAACGGTACCTCCGTTTTTAAGAGAACGGAGCGTCCGATTTGAATAATTCAAAAAACATTTTACTTGTATTGACAAGATGTAGAATTGATCAAATTTTCATGGAGGTAGGTCTAGCGGTTTCGGAGATCTAATGAAAAAAGTAAAAAATAATGCCATTCGGCGGTTAAAAATGATCATTAGACATATGCACATCAAATTATCAGATATTTTATAGAGATTTTAACAATAAGTATATTATTTTTTTTACATTTTTATGGGTTCCGTACCAATGCTTATGCGTTGGACGGCGGCGCGGCACATGCGCGCTTTGATATTTCGTCTCTATGCAGCTCAAGCAGTGCGATTGCTTTGAAAAAAAGTTCAGAATTTCCATAATATGTCAAAATGAAGAAAACATTTTTTTCAAAAAAATTTTTGTATCCAAAAAAATTTTTTTTTTTTTCATATAAATTTTTTTTTTCAAAAAAAAAGTAATTTTTTGTCAAATTTGTAGTTTCTCAAATCTATTTTTTTTTATTAAATTTTTTCAAACATGTTAATCGTTTTTAAAAAAATAATAATTTTTGGTACGGGAAGTTCCAGCAATTTGCCTTAAGGCACGATGCCCTAATTGCCTTAAGACAGAATTCCACTTACAGCTAGTTACGTTTCAAGTTTTAAAGATTCTTTTTGGATTCTGGATTTTGTGTTTAATTGTAAATAATACTCTACTGAGCTTATACAAAATTTTCAAATTTCTGCGATGAGAGATAGAAAATGAATTATGTATTTCTTCTTTGACCTGCTTTTTGAAAAGTTTTAAGTTACATTCGATGAATTAAAGTAAATTTAATAAAAAGTATATATGTAGAGCAGAGCGAGGCACAAAGGTCCAATTTGACTTAGAGCAAATATAAACTATATTGTGAAAACCATAACAATTATATAACAACAAATAACACATATCAAACGATAAACGAACAATTATCTGACTACGTTCAGTAAACTGTCTTCTACTTTATCACTGTAGAAACGTGCTTTATTATGACTTTCAAAAATTTGTTATCTAGATCTTTTTACCCTATAGGCGGGGTAACTTGAAACCAGGTGGCAAAAAGGTTTACTGTCTTATTTTAATTTCAAAGGTGTTTTACAAAATAATTACATTTTTAAATAATGCTAAAAAACTACCAACGGAAGAAAATACTTTTATTATGAATTTTCGAAGATTATAGTTTATCTCCTGATAGCAAAGTCATAAGCATCAAGGTTATTGCTGGTTATACTTTCAAATATTGTTGTTAAACAATGCTTAACTTAACTGGTTTTTGACTCATCGGTGGTGGAACTTTTTAACCTCAGACCTTCATATATTACTATCTATTCTTCGATAAATTGTGGGAAATTATAACTGAGAAAATGTTATTCGACAAAATGTTCCTTTGATCGATACCAAATTTAGGTTCTTAATTTAAATAATGTAAATAAAAAATAATATAACCTAGAAAATGTTTTATAAATACCAATGAGTATATAATTATATAGATGAGATTTTTCAGAGCACCGTTTTTGAGAAAAATGTTATTTGCAAAAAAAGAGTGCTACAACGCCAAAAAGTGCATTTTCATATTAACATTTCAAAAAAGTTGATATTGATGAGTTTGTAAGTGACACGTGCGGCCCTATTAAAATAAATCTTACTGAATTACAAATTTATAGCTGTTTTTGTAAGAAACATGTATGATTTTATATTTTTATAATTTAGTACACATATTAATAAATAACATACTAAAATTTTGTAACTCTAGTACAACGTTTTATATTTTTAAATATTTTTTAAAATACTCATCAAACCGTGGACTTGCAACTATTACAAGAGTGCATTTGTTTACAAAATTGCACATTTATAGCTGTTTTTGTAAGAAACATGTGTAATTTTATATTTTTATAATTTAGTACATATATTAGATAATAACTAAAATTTCATAGCTATAGTATAATATTGTATATTTTTAAAACATTTTTCAAAAGTACTTCCCATATCATATCCAACCGTCGATTCGCAACTAATAAAAATAGAGTATGCAAGTGTGCATTGCAATTTTTTAGTTTATTCTGTTAGAAATATATTTGATTTTATATTTTTATAATTCAGTACACACATGACGAAATAACATACTATAATTTTGTAACTGTATTGCAACGCTTTATATTTTTTAAATATATTTTAAGCCGTCAATTTGTTTACGTTAAAACGTTTACTAACGTTTTTGTACAAACAAAACTACTTACTACAATTTAATCATAATTAAATAATATTGACGTAAAACATCCTATTAAAAGTAATTGAACATCATCGAACATCATCTGTCAGAAACGTATGACATTTCCCGTATTAGCCACCGTCCATTGTTTTATTCAAATTACGCTTCTACAAAAATTTTCAAATCAAAAAAAGTCTAAACGCGATTTTGAAATAATATCTCACAATTCGGACAACCTACTGATTGGCAAGAATTTTTCAAGACCAAGACTGGCCAAATCGGTTTAGCCGTTTTCGAGTTTTACCGAATCATTTGATCGAGAGCTCCATTTTTATATATAAGATATAGATGGATTTCAAATTTTGACCTTGTCGTTTTTATTATCCAGGTTGCGTGCAGAACGTGTAAGTAAATCGACGGAACGTCTAGGGGGTTCTGGTTCCTTGTCAAGTTCGGAAAGAGTCAGTGGCAGCGGCACCGGAACCGCAGGTTCTCGTTCTGGTTCCAGCACCAGATCCGGATCTTTAGAACGTAGGCAAAGTGGTGAAGGAGGCCGGCACGATGAAAGGGAACGTGAAGTCTTGTATCAGCTTACAGTTCACGGTAAGAAAAAATTCAGTCGAATTCAGGCCTATTCTCGGACATTAATATTTTTGCAACGGAAGTGCGTTACGGCACAGATACTGATTCGTCATTGGCCATTGATGTGGTCTGTTTGGACGTCTTTTTGTTCTATTATATTGGCTATGAAGGTAACAATCTTCATGGCATTGAGCTTTTACACGAAATGGTTGCTATGTAAATAACCAATAAAAATAAATATATCTTCTTTCATTATAACTTAGTAACAAATCAGTGATTGCAATTAGAACTGCAACAATACATAATATACAAACCAAATCAGTGTTTAATACAGTCCACAGATACAAGGGTTAAATTGTAACCCAACAACCTGAATTATCGAAGGAGAGTTTTAATAAATTCTATAACTACGTAACAAAAGTACAGGTCATTGGAAACGAATTGATGTGATTGGCTTATTCTCGGATGACATAACTATTTTTTGTAATGCAACGGAAGTGCGTTACGGCACAAATACTGAATCGTCGAGATCGTCTTATCTCATGATACGTCAAATATTAAACAATGATATACGTAGATTTATTGAAAATCAAAAGTATAATAGTAAATTATTATAATAAAAAATCAAATCAAACATTTAATAATGTCTTGTAAGAGGCGTAGGTTTGCATTTTTCTTTATTCATTTTTGCTTAAGTGCTACTGCAGATCAAGAATTGTCAACAATTTCACAAAATCAGTTTTTGATACAGTAATGTTATTATAACAACGTAAGTGATGATTTACTTCACGATATTATATTAAGAAATTGTTCACCTCGTACAAGAGCTAAACAGTTTTACTTCAATCACCCGTGTGTACCTTACGCGCACTCTTTTTCTTGTTTTTAGACAAATCATGTTTTCTTCAAGTTCTTAGACTTTCACTAGGCAAAACTAAAAAAATCTGTCAAATGATGAAAATTAACCTCCAAATATACAAGTGTAATTCATCAGCACCTATAATTTTGAAGTCTCTGAAGTTTTTTTCTTAGTGTTGCCACATAAGAATAGCAATGACACTTATAGTAACATTTTGAACAAAACTAGTATGACCTTGCTCTTAGATGTTTTTTATATAGCGAAGGAAATGCTTTTACGCATACCAGACTAGGTCTTTTGTCTGGGTATGTCGGACTCAATACCGCCTGTGGGAGGAGGATATAGAATACTAAGATTTGCTATCTTAATTATACTTTCCTAATTAATAGACAGAATTTCTATAAATATGGATGGATATTTATATGGATGGAATTTTCTGGATAAAATGACAAGATATATATATTAGGGTGGTCCTTAATATGGAATATTTTTGAATTTCCTTGCTCTCAAGGTCTCAAATGCTTCCAAATTGACAAAAACAAATTCTCTGAAAGTTTTAGTTAACATGTGTAACCTAAAATAATACTTAGTATCTTCACTTTGGTGGAGGGAGGATGTAGAATACTATCATTCACTTTATTAATTATACTTATTTAATTAATATAGAGAACTACATTATATGTGTAACCCAGAATAGGTTTATAATACTTAGTATCTTTACTTTGCTGGGGGTAGGTTCTAGAATACTATGATTCACTTTATTAATTATGCTTTCTCAAATAATAGAGAGAATTATTTTATTTGTGTAACCGAGAATAGACCCATAAGATTTAGTATCTTTACTTCGGTAGTGGGGGGATCTAGAATACCATGATTCACTGTCTTAATTATACTTTCTCAATTAATAGATGGGGGGAGGATATAGAATACTATGATCCACTCTCTTAATTATATAGGGTCCGCCGAATAACTTTTTTTTAAAAAAAACTACTGAATATTTCCTCCAGTTTCTTTTTTTATTTGAAAGTACAATCCTTTCAGTTAACAATGCAATTAATTTAGTTAACAATGTTTATAATAATTTCATTCAAAAATGAAAAAAAGCCTCGGCTGACCATTGAAAAAATAATGAAAATAAAAAATTTTAGATGGCATACCCCATACTTTATTTTGGTGGGGGGAGGATCTAGAATGCTGCGATTCACTCTTTTAATTATTCTTTCTCAATTAATAGGTGGGGGGAGGATATAGAATACTATGATTTACTATCTTAATTGTACTTTACTTTGGTGGGGGGAGAGAATTCTCTTAGAGAGAATTACCTTATGTGTAACCGAGAATAGGCTCATAATACTTAGTATCTTTACTTTGGTGGGGGGAGGATATAGAATACTATAATTCACTGTATTATTAGATAGAATTACCATATATGTGTAACCGAGAATAGGCTTATAATACTTAGTATCTTCTGAACCAATTTTTAAATATATCTAATTTTTGTTCAGGAACTGCAAGTCCCAATAGGCGTCCAGCAATTTTCGACGCCTTTCGACCAAGATCCAAATCGGACGCCAGAAAACAAAAGGAACTCACCAACAGTGGCCAAAGTGGTAATAATAGTGGTTCTTCGACACCAGCCCAATCTGGCAAATCAGGGCTCTGGCAGCAATTCATCAGGACCGGGGTAAATGATAAATAAAACTTTTATCCATTTTGTTAACTTTGTTTTAGCTCTTTCTCTACGAGCGTTTTATAGTTACAGTTGACATCCACATGGTTACTTATGTACGAGCGTAGGCCGAAAAGATTTTTATTATTTAAAGTTTAGTTTTTAATTTTTATTTAGTTTTTTTTTATGCTGATGGGCGAGTAAAGAAGTTGATTAGTGGTTTACGGGCACTCTCATTAGATATTGATTATTAAATCTAAATAACTTCGCGCAAGACGGCTAATTCTCTGGTTGTTTATATTTGTGTGTTTCTTATGTGAGTATAATGTGAATCATTATTCCATTTGGGAATGCAAACGAGTAGTTATCTTAACTACGTAGTTATCTTAACTAAAGTAAATAAATATTCGAGGAATAAAATTAATCAATGCTCCATCAAAATTGATCAATGAGGAATAACAATGGTTTAAATTTTTTTAAATAAATATTATAAATACTGTTAATCATTGTTTTACACCGTCCACACAAGCGATATATTTTTTTTAAACATTCTAATCGAAAGATGAGTTCTTTTAAAAACTGCATCACCAAATTAAGAGATAACCTTTTAACTGTTTTTGTATCTCCGAAACCGCTGGACCTGCCTTTGCTAATTTATCAACAGAAATCGAATGTTCTTTTAATCATTTAAATCGGTTGATCCGTTTTTGCCGAAGAGTTTGTTTATTTTAACTTGTGCAATTTTGTCTATTTTAATTAGTGTAATTATTTGATTAAAAATATTACTCATACTTTCGTTTAACAATTTTTTTTTTAACTTTTTAACATGGATGACGTGCTGATTAGTTTTTGGCAAAGGCAGAACAAATCGTTTCTAAGATACGGGGCAAAAAGTGGCAAAATGGTAATTCAGTCTTTGAGAAAACAAAGCGTCTGATTCCGATGAATCAAAAAACATTTTATTTGTATGAACAAAATGAAAAACTGATTGAATTTTTAGAAAGGCAGGTAAAGCGGTTTTTGAGATCCATTAAGAAAAGGAAAAGAAAAGCCATTTGGCGGACAAAAATGATCATTAGACGCGCATCAAATTATCAGATATTTTATAAAGATTTAAGTAATAATTATAAATTTTGTTTACTTGTTTATGGGTTCCGTACCAATGTATAACCGTTAGACCGCAACGCGGCGCTTACGCGCTTCGATGTTTTGTCTCAAGGAGGTATCGAAGCATGATTGCTTTGAAAAAAAGTTCAAAATTTTCGAAAAATTTCAAAATAAAAATAAATATTTCAATTTAGAAAAAAGGTCATTTTTTCAAAGTTTTCATAATTTTTTTTTTAACATTTAAATTGCGGCACGGAAAGTTTTAGTAATTGGCCTTAAAAAAGGGGGGCCTCGCAAACGAATTTTGCCGACGCCGACGAATGGTCTAGCGCCGCCACTGCCTATAGGCGACATCCAGTTCGTAGACTTCCGCTTTAATATTTATCATTCTAACAATACGTTGAATTATTGAGAATTCTAATTTGCTATTACGATTTTTTAATTTTTATCAATAACACAGGCCAACAAAGAAAATGGTGCAAACGATTTTAATACTGTTTTTAAGTATATTTGGGACGCCTATTTCAAAAATGACATTGTTTTTTTTCTATGGGCTTTAGTTTTCAAGATATGATATATAAGGAATGAAAGTACAAAATAGTGTAATACAATTCAGAATGTTATTTTAATGAGATATGCCTACTCGTACATACAAACTTACAAGACCCATTCGGCTTTAGTTGGGATATTAGTTGACACTATGAAAAGTTCTTTTCCGTGACGACCTACAATGGACCTGATTTCGGCAACTTCTTTGTATCTCAAAAACTAGAGCTGATACAAAAAATGGTTTGCAGATTTAATTTAGAAAAAAAAAATTGTAGGCCTGTGTAATGATGGGAAAATCTTTAGTTAAAATATTAGGTTGTCAAATATCTCCCTTCCGCTTTTTTGCTCTTGGTTTATAATACAAAAAGGTGGAAGGGAGATATTTGACAACCTTATATTTTGTTTATCAAATTCCTGGTCAGCTCGCTGGCTCGTACAGCAGTGTCACTCACTCCTCTAATTTATTATTAATTAATAATTATTAATATTTTTTTTTAGTCACCATGTCGGTCTGATGCAACACGTAAGAAACGCTGTTCACCATACAACCGGTCTGATCAGATCACATCATCAGCCTGTCCATCGGGACAGTGCTCATCCTGTAAAAGCAGCCAGAGATGGTTCTGCACATTTACATGCTGGAAGTGACCAACAGGTAATAAAATAATTAAGTTGTAAATAAACCATAAACCTAGTTATGTAAACAATAGTGTACTCGATAAAGTTAGTACTGAGTTGGAATTAGTTTAAAATTAAGAAGTGAACTTTGAAGTTATGTAATGGGAAAATTATATTTTGTGTCTATTATATTTATTTGTTTAAAGAAATTTATGATTGTTTTGTTATTTCAGTATTACCATACGGTTACTGCTGGTCGCAGAAGTGAATTAAATCGTTCTCCGATGACCAAAGTGATGGATTTGTTTAGACATCGGGCAAACAGTACTACGAGTGAGCAGGAGAAGCGGAAAAATGTGAGTGGATTTATAATTTTATTTTATATATTTATATTACAAAGCTTTCCGAACATTTTGGCAAATCTTAGTAGATTGATTAGATTTTGGCAAAGGCATATAGAGAGATATAGAGCTAAATATGCAAAAAATGGCAGATTTTGAAAGAACTATGCATTCGATTTGAGGGATTTAAAGAACTTTCTGCTTGTATTGACGAAACGATTCAGGAGAATAATTTTTTTAACTTCCCGTAGGGTAAGTTATTGTAATTGAAAATTTTTACATTTCTCGACGTTTTGAAGATTTCTGAACGTTTTGGCATACCTCAGAAAAATGGATGTGTGTGTGTGTGTGTGTGTGTCTGTATGTGTGGATACAAATTTCCAGTCACGTTTTAGGGCGCACGGATTAACCGATTTGAATGGTTCAAAACACATTCGATTCCTATTGATAGGGAAAAGAGCTGATTAGTTTTTGGCAAAGGCAGGTCCAGCCGTTTCGGAGATACGGAGCAAAGAGTGCTGAAAATAGAAATCGAATTTTTGAGAGAACGGAGTATCCGATTGAATGATCTAAAAAACATTCAATTAGTAATGATTGGGAGAAGTGTTTATTAGTTTTTCGCAAAGGCAGGCCCAGCCATTTCGATGATACGGAGTTAAATATGTAAAAATGGCAGTTTTTGAGAGAACTAAGCGTCCGATTTAAATGATTCAAAGAACTTTCTGCTTGTCTTAACATAATAATTGATTTTGGAAAAAAAAAATTTGTTCCAACTTTTTTTTTTTTTTTAGTTTTTTGTATATCGAAAATATTTCAGTTTTTATTTTTAATTCTGACTATAGTTCTAATATACTTTACAAATAATTTCAACTCTGCAATTCAGTTTATATAATTGTTATAAATATTACACAACGTTACAATATTTATAATAATCTATTTGAAAACATTCAGTATTCCTCAAACATTTCGTTACGGTACGGGAAGTTCCAGCAATTTGCCTTAAGGCACGATGCCATAATTGCCTGAGTTTAAATTTCTTTATTATTTCCAATAAAAAACTTTTTTACTAAATTTTATTTCATTATGATACGGAAAGTTCCAGCAATTTGTCTTAAGGCACGATGCCATACACCACTAGTTATTAACTAAGTCGATTATTTATTAGTTCATGCAACTTGCCCCAAGGCAAAATTCCACTTACAACAAGTTTTATATTATTTTATTTTATTTAAAACTGTTTGTATCTTACAATGGTTTAAATAAATGCTAAATAATGGATGGCGCCACTTAAAACATTTCAATCAAGGTGATTTTCTTGGCTCTTCTGTTAATTCTTGATTAAATTATTATTAAAAATTTAGAAACACGGAGGAAACTCTAACCGATTTGGAGCTTTATTTACAGCTTTTAAATTATAATTATATTTTTTCATCAATATCATAAGGAAGTCTCAATATACATTATTTATTATCACATTTTGTTCACAAAATCAAATGCTCAGATTGTGATCTTACTTATATAGAAGAATCGATTCAAAAAATGGGCTAATGCCTTCATCAATACAAAAATTTTAACAAATGCAGTAATAATTTAAAAACATAATAACATATTAATATTATGATTCATAGAATAGTAATTATTAAAAATTTACATCATAGAATAAATTAATAAATAAAAAATTAAAATCCTTTAATTTGAGGAAAATTTATTCCAGAGACAATTTATAAAGGACTTATCTGGATTATTATAAAATACGTGAATAAAATTATATATAATATATTATATTATAATATATATATATATATATATTTATATATATATATATATATATATTATTAGATGAAGTATAATATATATAAATCTATAAGCATAGATATAGATATATATATATATATATTAAGATATATATATCTCTATTATATATAAGAATATATATATATATAGATATATATAATCTAAATGAATTATCTTAACCCACTTTTATGATGGGTTCGCTAAATATTTATTTAAACGTTTATTAATAATTATAATATTTCTATTTATGCACAATGTAAATATAAGGAACAAAATAAATATTGATATCGCCTCACCATTGTTATTGAATATTGTCAGGGTTTGACAACAATTTCCAACTTAATGTTTAATTGTCGACTACGAAGAAAGGGCTCGACCGATTTGTTAACGTCAGCATACAGACTTTTAGTATCCAAATAATTTTTCTGTCTTCAAAGGCGTTTTTAAAGTATACCAAGTTGCTATAGGGTGTTATGATTTTAGAAAATATTATAGACTATTAAATTTTGTACAAATTTGTCAAATGTATCATTTATACCAGACGAACGGTTTAAAAGTTACAATGGATTTAATAAATAAATGCATCAATAATTTAATGTGCGAGTATGTTTGTATTCACCATCTAGTTTCAATCGAGATTTTAAAGTATACCGATTTGCTCTAGGTTCCTGTATTATTAGACAAAGTTGTTCATTATTTAGTTTTGCACGAATTCACCAAATACTTCATTCATATTGAACGAATGGTTTTAAATCTGCAAATGTTATGAACAAAAAGTGTACTTTTAGAGTGATGTGAATAATTTTGTGCATTCAAAAGCGATTTTAAAGTATACCGAGTTGTCGTAGGGCATTGTGATGCTAGAAAATATTTTAAATTATTCAATTTTAAACAAACTTGTCAAATATTATATTTATATAAAACGAACCGTTTACGAGTTACAACAGATCTTATAACAAAATGTAGGCACGAATTGCCAAGCAATAAACGATTTCAAGTACATACTTTAGGAATTATACTGAAGCGTTTTGATAAATCATTTTCTAACAATAAGTAAACCGAATTGCTGTAGGGCTTTTATATATGTATAAGACAATATTTTAGGTAATTTAGTTTTGCATAAATTCGTCAAATATTTTATTTACATTAGACGAACTGTTCAAAAGTTACAAAGGATATAATGAAGATAATACAAAATATATGGAGTCACCTTTATCAAACAATTATGTTTTAAATCAGAACCTGAAAGTGAGATAACGGTCAGTTTAAAATTTGTAACATTTTGATATTATTATATTAGAGACAAATTTAGAGAATTTTATCTAGTTTTCAAATATTTAAAAATAATTATTGAAAAAAATTGCTTGCTAAAGTTATACAGGATAGAGTGAAAAAATGCATTTTTAGAATAAATGGCACTCGACAGGAAATAACCATCAGTTTCAAAATTTATTTCAGTAGTTTAATTATTATATTTTAATATTATAACATTAGAGACAAATTTAAAGAATTTCATCTAATTTTTAAATATTTAAAAATAATTTTTGAAAAAAATTGCCAGCGAAAATTATACAGGAAAAAAATGCACCGTGATAATACAAAATAATTGATCAGGACATTAAATACTTTTTCTAGGAATTATTTAATAGTTAAAAATAAATTTTTATATAGACAAATTAAAAAGAATTTTATATAGTTGTTAAATATTTAAATAATTTTTTGTAAAAATAATTTAAACACTAAAAACACATGAAAACCACAGAACAAAAAAACTGTTTTGCTATCGTACGAGATGGCACCACGTATACGCATACAATCAAAGAACACTCTCACGCGACACGACGACCAATCACAATCGACCCGTATAGAAATGATATCATCGAGAGCGAATGATGAATAATTGGCACTCTACTCGGCCGTAACGCTCTTCCGTTGCATTTTACACATAGATTTACACTCTAAAAAAATGTTTCGTTTTTTTTATATATTAAAGAATTAAAATTAATGTAAGGTCAAAGCGGTCGCGTTTTTACATCTTCTTATACTTTTTCATTATGATTTATATAAATCTTTCCCTAGAATTGAACCTACAGGTAGATTTACATGCTACAGTTACGGTAGCGCACTCTATGGAGCGGGAAAAGAATCAAAACCCCCATCGATCTATTTCCCCCAGCTCTCGGTCTAAATCTTTCAATACTTGATACAAATATATATGTATCTATCACGTTTTTCTCCAATTACTACTATTAGTACCTAACTCATCACGAATGAGTCTTATCACATGGTGACATATGAAAATGTCTTTGTATTCGTTTGACAAAATGTCACAAACATATAAATTATATATTTAAATATACATATAAATATATATTTATATCTTCATCTACTCCAGTCGTATTTTTTAGCTCGGACAGTGCGCGTTTATTAAAACTTACATAACTAAAATTTCAATTAAACATATGGACAGATTATTAAATTTATGCAATTTTGTATATAAGTTATTTTTAAACTAAAATATTTTTCAGTGTTTATTAATGTTATAATTATGATGGTGTAATTTTTATAGTGTTTATGACTGTTTAATGTGTTGTTTGATATAAGTTGTGCTTGTTGTTTACATAAAAATATTGTGTAAAAAATCTTTAAAACAAGATTATTTTTAAATATTTTTAAAACAAGGTTTAGTCGTGTTTTTTGAGTCAAAGTGCACGTATGGATTTAATTTAATTGGATTTAAAAATATGTTTAAAAATAAAAATAATAATTATTATTATAAAAATTAATAATTTGTTCGGTTTTCTTGTTCTGTGGTTTTTATGTTTTGTGGTGTTTAAATTTTCTTTACAAAAAGATATTTGTATATTTAATAACTATATAAAATTCGCTTTAATTTGTCCATATAATAATCTATTTTTAACTATTATTTCTATTTTTAACTTCTATTTCTAAAAAGTATTCAATGTCCTGATCAATTATTTTATATTATCCTTGTGTTTTTTTTTTATTTTTACTTCATCCTGTATAACTTTTAGCAGCATTTTTTTTATATCATTATTTTTAAATTTTTGAAAACTAGATAAAATTCCCTAAATTTGTCTCTAATAATATTAAAATATAATAATTAAACTACTGAAATGAATTTTAAAACTGAACATTATCTCCTGATCAGGTGTCATTTATG